TTCCAATGAGGGTCTGGATTCTGGTTGAAGGTATTTTTGACCATTCTTCTTTACAAAGCATCTCCAGTTCAGTCAGGTTTGATGGTTTCCGAGCATGGACAGCCCACTTTAAAACAGACCACAGATTTTCAATGATATTCAGGTCTGGGGACTGAGATGGCCATTCCAGAACGTTGTACTTGTTCCTCTGCATGAATGCTTTGGTAGAATTTGAGCGGTGTTTAGGGTCGTTGTCTTGTTGAAGTATCCAGCTCTGGTGCAACTTCAACTTTGTCACTGATTCTTGAACATTGTTCGCAAGAATTTGCCGATATTGACTGCAATCCATACAACCTTTTTTAACACTCCAAAATGAAGCTGGCTTGTCCAAATGTGCTTTAGCATACCTCAAGTGACTCTTTTTGTGGCATGGGTGGAGAAAAGGCTTCTGCCGCATTACTCTCCCATACAGCATGTCCTTGTGCAAAGTGCGCTGAATAGTTGAACGATGCACAGTGACACCATCTGCAGCAAGATCATGTTTATAGGTCTTTGGAGCTGGTCTGTGGGTTGAGTTTGACTGTTCTCGCCATCCTTCGCCTCTGCTTATCTGAGAGTTTTCTTGGCCTGCCACTACGGGCCTTAACTAGAACTGTGCTTGTGCTCTTCCATTTCCTCACTGTGTTCCTCACAGTGGAAACTGACAGCTGAAATCTCTGAGCTAGCTTTTTATATCCTTCCCCTAAACCATGATGTTGCACAATCTTTGTTTTCAGGTCATTTGACAGTTGTTTTGAGGCTCCCATGTTGCCAGTCTTCAGAGAAGATGCAAAGGGGAGAACAACAAGCCAGCTTCATTTTGGAATAAGGTGCTGTGGACTGATGGAACTAAAATTGAGTTATTTGGACATAACAAGGGGTGGTATTCATGGTGGAAGAACACAGCATTCCAAGACAAACACTTGCTACCCAGTTCAATTTGGGGGCAATCTTGTTAAAGTTGAAGGTCGCATGGATTCCAGTCAGTATCAGCAAATTCTTGCGAACAACGTTCAAGAATCAGTGACAAAGTTGAAGTTGCACCAGAGCTGGATACTTCAACAAGACAACGACCCTAAACACCGCTCAAATTCTACCAAAGCATTCATGCAGAGGAACAAGTACAACGTTCTGGAATGGCCATCTCAGTCCCCAGACCTGAATATCATTGAAAATCTGTGGTCTGTTTTAAAGTGGGCTGTCCATGGTCGGAAACCATTAAACCTGACTGAACTGGAGATGTTTTGTAAAGAAGAATGGTCAAAAATACCTTCAACCAGAATCCAGACCCTCATTGGAAACTATTGGAAGCGTTTAGAGGCTGTAATTTCTGCAAAAGGAGGATCTACTAAATATTGATGTAATTTTTCTGTTGGGGTGTCCAAATTCATGCACCTGCCTACTTTTGTTTAGGTAAGTATTGCACATTTTCTGTAAATCCTATAAACTTTATTTCACTTCTTAAATATCACTGTGTTTGTTTGCTATTATATATATGTAATTGAAATTGCTGTTCCGAACAACCAATGATCCATAAAGGAAAATCTTGAAAATTATCAGGGGTGCCCAAACTTTTTCATACCACTGTATATTTATAGGTATTATTGTGCATCTTAACAGTGGATTATAAAAAGTGTCAAAGAGTATCTTTCAAAACATCAGTGACGTTGTTGTCCATAACGATATTATTCAGTCTACAGTCCCCCACAGTTCATCTGTCAATCATGTCAGTCACCCTGTCAGTCGTAGACTTACTTACTGTCCTGATGTCAGTGAGGCTGGTCTGACGCAAGCCAAATGTCTGACCTGAAAATGAAGCTTCCACAAATGAGTGCTGGGAGTTGAGATGGTATTTTAAGCTGGAGGTTCTTCACTTTAACACACTGTGTGTGTGACTGTGTATTCTTTACACACACATGTCTATTTCAGATGTTTTGCTGCTAATAAAGAAAAGACCTCCACCTACGCCTCCAAAGATGGCAGACATTAGTGCAGAGGAAAAGGTAGGCTCGTTGGAGTCATGTCAAGTTAAATACTGTATCTTTATTATTCCCTGCTACTTCTACTACTTCTTTGAATCATTTCAAACTCCCTTATTATGTTTTTTTCCCCCACAGAAGAAACAAGAAACCAAGGCTCCAGACAAAGAAGCAATCCTTAAAGCCACTGCCAATCTGCCCAAACGCCACACTGACCGCACTGTCACCCAACACAACATCAGAGATGTGAGGACGGCCACGTTCACGGATCAATAAATATATGTTGGTGTTTTGTATCATTTTAATCAGATGTGACGTTTGAGAAATCATTCTCGTGTTCGGTCTGTTCCAGTTCCAAACGGAGCTCAGAAAAATCCTGGTTTCTCTAATCGAGGTCGCCCAGAAGCTCTTAGCCCTGAACCCTGACGCTGTGGAACTCTTCAAAAAAGCTAATGGTAAATTGTTTAACTCTGTAGGTGGACTGTTTTCCGTGTCTTTCTCTGCAATCTTTTAATAAGCACAATAAGAAACACGGACCAAGAACGTTCTTTTTAGTGGCTTCTTCGTCTACTTTTAACTCAGTTTACCAGTTTGGGACTTATCCAGTCTGTGACAGAAGAATAGATCTGACCAATCGCACAACAGTTTCAAAAGAGAATGAGAGATATTGTGGTAGTAGTCTTCCGGCATCAATGAACTCATTTGAATATCACTGCAAGTGGAACTGATTCAAAAAGAACAGTACCAGTACAATCTTTGACCCTCTTGTTGACTAGTTTTATTTCTAGAACATACCCTGTGGGCACCTTAGGTAGTCTACGGGGGCTACCAGGTGACCCCAGGCACCACGTTGGTGACCCATGTGGTAGGGACTCCCTTAGCACCAAAAGGATTAGACCCAATAATGAAGTACTTTCATCGTTATCCTAATGATATTTCTAACTGTTCTATTACTCTCTATGTACTGCAGCGATGTTGGACGAAGATGAAGAGGACCGAGTGGACGAGACGGCCCTCCAGCAGTTGACTGAGATGGGCTTCCCAGAGAACAGGTCCATTAAAGCTCTCCGACTAAATCAGTAAGTGCACACGTGTCGTCCCGCCAGCGACAGCACAACAGAATAGGTCGTCTGATATAGGTATCTGTCTGCAGCATGTCAGTGACCCAGGCCATGGAGTGGCTAATAGAACACATAGATGACCCTGCTGTAGACACACCGCTTTCAGGCCAGGATTCCTCTGGGGGGGCAGCAGGGGCCGCAGAAGCCTCCCTGCCAAGCACTTCCGCCTCAGCATCAGGGCTCACTCTTCCCCACAGCCTCTCCAGGCAGTCGAGCGCGGACGCGGGCAACAAACAAGACGAGCTCACAGAGATTTTCAAGAGGATCCGCAGGAAACGAGAGTTCAGGCCGGACTCTAGAGTAAGATTGTTTGTCTCAAATACTCTCAAATACATGCAGTCCCAGTACAATCAACTAGTGGTCGGAGGTTTAAGTGCAACACAAAAAATGAACCAATGCCATGAATATTTGCATGTTAATTACAAAAACACGATACAGTGCTGTAGAATATAGATACTGTATCGTGAAATGAAATATTGCAATATTTCAGTAAATAAATATCTTCTTAACCTCTTTTTATAAACCGTATTTTCTGGACTATAAGTCGCTTCAGGGTCTTAGTCGCACCATCCATAAAATGCATAATGAAGAAGAAAAAAGCATATATAAGTTGGTCTGGAGTATAAGTTGCACCAGCCAACTAGAGTACCCTCTAGTTTAATTTAATATTGTATTATTATATGATCTGAGTTATCGGCTATAAATCAGTACAAACTAGCTCCTTTTCCACAGACCGTCATTGCATTGATGGAGATGGGCTTCGATGAAAAGGAGGTGATCGACGCCCTAAAGGTCAACAACAACCAACAGGATGCTGCGGTGCGTTCACACACACACACAGCAGTTTGCGTTGCTCTGCGAGTTAGCACTCGTCCCTCGTTTTTCACTCCTAATTCTCCCCCTACAGTGTGAGTGGCTGCTTGGAGACAGGAAACCTTCTCCAGAGGACCTGGACAAAGGCATCGACATCAACAGCCCCCTGTTCCAGGCCATCCTGGAGAATCCAGTGGTCCAGCTCGGCCTGACCAATCCCAAGACTTTGTTAGGTAAACGCAGCACTGTACATCGCACATTACCTATACACAGTAGGCGAATAAGTGAATAACACAGCTTAAAAGACAGACCTAAAATATGACACTAGACGGGCATGGGCAAACCAAGGCCCGGCGGCTGGATGCCGTCCATTCAGCTCTTTAGTCCGGCCCGCTAAACTTTTCCAAATTATATAATTTATTTATATTACCGTTATACTTCTGCCTTTTCCCTGCAGTAGCCACATTCTCCAATAGATGGCGTAGAAAATCACACATGAATGGCACATATGGCACAGAACAAACAAGCTGTGTTTAACAACTTTGTGACTCACACACCACTAGGTGAAGTCCGAGTACCACTGGTTTTACATGGACCATATTTTGAGAACCACCGTTTTAGATAGTGTGTTCAACATCAGTCAGGAGGACTCCTGTTGGTACATCTTCAGCATAGAAAAAAAACAACAAAACCTTTTTAAAAGTTCTTTATTTGCCAGATCTTCTCCCATCTGAAGGGGTGAGGAGACGATGTATAGCAGCGTTTCCCTAAGTTTTCTCTCGGGACCCATATTTTAAAAGTCAAAAAGTTTCACAACCCCAGTCAATAGACATTATTCGTGAACTCCTGGGAAACATGTTGTGAGACAACCCAAAAAGGGTTGCGACTCATTCTTTGGTAAACAATCATGTACAGTATTATTCAATATAAAATAAATTTAAAATTTATGAAATAACAGGGTTTAGTATAAAATAAAAGACAGTCGAAAATATCTTCATAATTTTTCCTACCCTGTACGTGCGTGTGTGTGTGTACTCATCTGCAGCATTTGAAGACATGCTGGAGAATCCACTCAACAGCGCCCAGTGGATGAACGACCCAGAGACCGGCCCCGTCATGCTCCAAATTTCCAGAATCTTCCAGACCCTTAATCGCACATAGAGCCTTCTGGTGATGCTCATGTATGACCGTGGCAGCTTGTGTGTGTATTAGAAAGAGTATGACGTGCGTGTGTGCGTGTGTGTGTGTGTGTGCGTGTGTGTGTACAGTATAAAGTCAGTAGAGACAGGAGAACTGTTTTTGCCTTGTGAAGAGAACGCTGGAGGAGTCATAAAAAAGGTTATATATGTGTGTAAAAGTATTTATATCAATACATAAACACACACTTATACGAAGCGAGTGTTAACATAAAACAATATTACTGTAATAATAAAACATGAGACAGATTTACTTACGTTGTTTTCACATTTTAACGAGAACAGTTTATAGTCGATTATTTTTTGTGTGATTTTTTCTCCCACGTTCAAAACGACATCGGACATCGATATTAATGTTTACAATTTAAAGAAGAAAAAAAAAGCTTTTTGTGCGCTCAGCAATGTTTCAAATATCAATTTCAGTTTTTTACTCTGGTTTGAAACGTTACACTTCATGTCGTCTCTCATCAGTGTCTTGTTTTGTTTTTTAATTTATTAAATTACCTGCTCACTGTTGGAGGCCGACGGTTAATTTGAGTTGATTTGATGGTGGTAAACAATAATTTATCTTATTTAATATATCTAATATTTTTAATTTGATTTTATTTTCATTTTAAATTTGGTCAGTTGACCTCTGACCTATTTGTGTCTGGTTCGCGTTTCTTCCCCGAAATCCATCACTTTTAAGTTTGCTGTTTGCTTGTGGATCTGCTCTAGGACAGTGGTTCTCAAACTCTTTTGCACAGTGTACAACCTTAAAAAAAAATTTGTCTCTTCAAATACCACCATTACGGACCAACATTAAAATACAGCAAAACAAGTTCACTTTGATCCGCTCACCTCAGTACAAGAATAATAAGATTTCTGGTTATAATATTGCACAATTTATACTGAAGCAATACTACATCTAGTGTTTGGATGCAATCTGTAAATCATCAACAAATAAGAGTTAGCTAAAACATTCCATCAACCTGAGCGTAATTTGAAACAGATTCTCCGCCTTACCACTAGATGGCGCCCAAATACCACAAGTGCCACATGTAGGATCGTTCGAGAGCCACTGTGTTAGAACGTCATATCAACACGTTGCATTCATTTAGCACCTGTTGACGTGTGAATATTATTTACTGCAGTACTTAGCATTTAAAGAAGCGTTGAAGTGTGTTGTTGTTGTTGTTGTTGTTAGTTTCCATGTTTAACGGAGCTACGCTGAATCGACAGAGTTGAGTTTTTTTTTTTTAAGAAGTCAGTCCTATCAGAAATCTACAGATGCATGCTCGCTCTGGTGACATACGCATCTTTAAACATTTGTGGTTTCCTTTTTTTTCTTCTTCTCAAAAGCAATGAACGTAAATGCTGTTGAACCAAACGTTCAAACACACAACCTGCCTTGGCATCGGATGCATCTTCTGGAAATAGCCTGTATTCTGTGCAATAGCGACCAGTTACAAAAATATGACCTGTGATGTATATTGTATTCAAATAGAGATGTGTGAACTGCGTTGTGTAGTTCGATATATTATTATAATAATTATTATTGTTATTATATTGGCCTCTGCTTTCATTTCTTAAAAATGCCCAGTTATGCTACAGTGAACCTTCCATTGCATTAGCTATACCGATAGTGAACTTAACACGGAGAATGGTGTGTTTTGCCAAGAGTGTTTTTAATTCACTATTTAAATTTTGGTATCAGCGTGATTTGTTTTTTGTTTTTTGCTCAGGGAGGCTGATTTTTTGTTGTTGTCATGGCTTAAAAAAAAAAAAAAAAAAACTCTGTTCAGCCCCTTTTATTGTGACATTTGGAAATTTCTTTAATTTGTGCGTTTTGCTTCGACCAAGTGCTTCACTAATATGTGGTTTTTTTAATTTGCAATATTTGAAAATATTTAAAGGTATGGTTTTGGTCTAAACCACGTTATTACATTATTTATACCGAAGCCTAACTAGTTACTTGCCTTTTTATTTATAATTGTTTTTTGTTTTGTTTTTTGCAAACCTCAGAGCTGATCTACAAATGTGAATATGTTTTAAAAAAAGAATGTTGTTTTAATAAACCATTGTAAAACGTGCTTATGGACTGGTAGGCCACAGACATGATAACGGGGGTGAGGGGTTAAAGGTCACAGGTGATGCTAAAATATGCCACCAGTCTCTGCAGACCTTTTGTACTGTAGTGAACTTTTTAGACAGCCACGTTGCTCTGCTGCCCGGTGTTGGTGTGGAAGTTCATATGGGAATCACATATAAATATATATATACACATACAGAAGATGCACACCTCCATCAATTGAATCAACAGGAAACAAAAAAGGACAGGATGAATCTTCTCGCTAAAGGACATTGACAACAACAAAAAAAATTACGGATTACTTTTTCACTTGGCTTTCCTGCAGGACTGTTCCAGATCAACAACCTATGCAATAGTCAGTTCATACAAACAGCCTGTTGGCTGCTGTCATCTAAAACACTATTGCATTAAAGGTGTTTTTTTTTTGTGGCTGTATTCTGTCTTTTCTGTGTTGTCTCTGACAGGATTGTATTGAGTAGGGGATGGCTCGATACAACTTTATCATGTCCAATTCCGATACTGCAACTTGGAGTATCTGCCAATACCAATATCAGTCCGATACCTTCATTGCTCCTCCAGGGCGATAGTGTCCCAGTTTATGGCACGTTGCGCAAAGTTACGTTGTACATCTGAGCTTAAGTGTCGGAACAGATGGGCTATATTTTGACCAATATCTGATCGATACTGATCCTATTATCAGATCAAGACATGCCCTACCTGTTAGTGGACCAACTTGATCAGACTGTTAAGACAACAAACCCAGGGAACAATCATGGCCAATGCGTCAGTTAGACAAGTAGTTAGCACATTGGATGTGGCACAGAGATTAATTTGACAGATTTTACCAATTTTTTGCTTGCTTGCTAACAGCATAAAAACAGTGACCGATGCCTTTGTATATCAAAGACACGTCGACACTGATGACAGGTCAGTAATATCAAAGACACATTTGCATGAAGTCCCATCTTCAGAACTGCTACAACATGGGTCATAGGGTCAATTTAAAAAATGTAGTACGGCTCCAAGAGGTTGATGAGTAATAATGTACATAACACCACCAGAAACGGCAGCCAATTAGGGAACGATGAAAAAGATTAACCTCATGGGTGAACCACATTTGTTTCTCTGAGTCAATTCGAACGGTTAAAAAAAAAAGAAAATCAACAAAGATGGTTCGGCTGAGAGGTTTTTCTCACGCAGTGCGACATTTTCATGAAGAAACTGAAGACGAATCCAAAGAAGAAACAAAAGAATTTGAGGGAAAAATTCAGTGTAGCTCCCAAATGGAAGAGTTGACGTCCTGTGATAAATTCGAGTCCTTTTCAGAATTGAAGTCTTCAATTAAAACTGAGACTTTGGATAACTCCAAGTCTCTAGGTTTATCTACATTGTTAGAAAAATCCAAGTTTCCAGTGAAATCAGAGACTTCTGGTGAATCTGGATGTTTGGACGAATCTGAGTCTCCAGATAAATCTGTGTCTCTGGGAAAGTCTACTCTCTCAAACGAACATCTCTCTTCCATTTTCTCCATGTCCTCAGTTCAGTCTGAATTGTTAGGGTTAGAGTTACAGAAACCCTGTGATAAAAGTCGGTCTCCAGAAAAACCCAAGCCTTCGGGCAGATCAAATTCTAAGTCTCAGGATAAATCCAGTTTTTCAAATTATTTTAACAAACCAAAGTCTTCTGAAAAAGGCAAGTCTTCTCATAAACCCCAACCTCTGGAGAACACCAAGTCGAAGTCTTCTCATAAAACAAAATCTTTAGATATTTCTGACTTTTCCGAAGTATTTGAAAACGAAAACAGACATTTGACCACATCCACCAAGTTTTCTATTCTCCAAAGAGACCTACAAGCAGCCAGGAGAGCTAGAGCTGCGTTTGAACACGGCTTGAAGATGATACAAGGAGCAAAAGCGCGACAGAAAGAAGCCCAGAAGAAGATCCAGAGAGAAAAACACACTTTGGCTAAAGCCCTGGAGGAGGAACGGGCGAAAAGGAACACCATCTGTGTTGAAAGTAAGCTAATGCGGAAGCAAGCGGCTGCTCTTCAAAAATCGCAGAAAGAGCAGCAGCACAGTTACGAACGTCTTCGAAAGAAGATGACATCCGACCAGGAAGAATATGACAAGGTAGTGAAGAACCTCAACGATGAAATTCTTTCCAAAAATAAGGAAATTGAATCGCTACACATCTTAGCTCAAAGTCTCAGGGTTAACCGAGAAGCCAAGGATGAAGCAGTTGAACAGCAGCACAAATCTAAAACTGCCGCATGTCAGCAGAAACTTAACCACCTGTGTCGGGAAAACCAAAAACTGGCTTCTGAGAATCAGAAGCTGCGTGAAGATGCTTTTTCCTACCACCTAAAGTACAAAGAAAAGCTGGAGCTCCTGACTCAGAAAAACCTTCAAACGACTGCTGAGATCGAGAGGCTGCGAGACAAACTGGAGGCCGCCCGGCACGAGAGACGATGTGTCCGAAAGCAGCACCAAGAGGACAAGGACGTCCGCCGGAGACTGGAGGAGAAGGTCAACGCGGAGAAAGTTCGCTGCCAGAGAACCAGCCAAGAATTGGAGACGCTGAAAAGAGCCATCCCAGACGCAGAGAGGGAACGGCAAAGAAACGATGGACTTGAAGAAGCCTTGCACCAGCAGAGGTTGCAGAATGCTGCCCTGCAAAATAAAGTGGACCACACCGAATGTGCTCTTGAGAAAGAGCGAGCCAACAGTGAGCGGTACAGAGCTGAGCTGCAGGGAATGAAGGAGGAGCAGCGACAACTGTCAGAGGAGCTGCAGAAAGCTCAGAAGAACTTTGTCTGCTTCCAGGCCCAGTGCCAGGCTGAGTTGGAGTTCCAGGGCAGCCATGTTAAGGGCTGTGAGCTCAGGCTCAAGGAGCAGAAAGTTGCTTTGAACAATGTCATGAAAGCTCTGCTGCACATGCAGCAGAAATACACCGATCTGGGGAGGAGGCACAGTGAAATCAGTTCTATGTACCGTCAGCTGCTGAAAGAACACGGCGCTCTGCAAAACAAATACGAAAGGCTCTGCTACGCCAAAGGAATGCCACGGCCAGAATTCAGTGTTTCTCACCTTTACTCAGCCATAGGTGTGAAAGGTGAGCCGCAGTTGTGGTTCAGTTAGTTCACTCGTTTCATGTAAATAAATGTTATTGAAAGTCTACTTTAGTCTACCTGTGTTGTTTTTCAAATAATAAAAAAAATCCTTATTTTTTTCGTAATTTTAGCAGAATATTTTTAATTCGAGCAAAAATAATATTTTCATAATATTTTCGAAATCATAATTTCCTGCGGCTAGCTAACCACTGGCTAAATTATGATGACGTCGTTATCTTACGTAAGAAATTCGCGTCATAACCATGTGACAAATTGTGATATTTGAAGCCAGACATCTATTTATTAGAATAAATATACTTAAAATCGAACATTTACACGAGCACCCAGTTCTTGAATTTTGCTGCACGCACAGCTGATGCTACTCGTGGTGCGTTCTAGAAAACCATGATATCGGAAATTTCAGACATTCATTGATCTATGGAAATGCACGCCGTAAATAAGTACAATAGTGATAAAAAGATGAAATAAATGTTTAAAATAATGTAGGTAAATAACACAATTATGTTCTTAAATGCATTGAACTCCCTTTTTGGGGGAAGAATCAGATTTGTATGAGAATCATTCACTTTGCTGCCACCTACTGTGTATTTTTACTTTCAATGTGTCTGAAAACATGGTGCAAATATAAACATCAATATCACTATATACATATATAATCATTGAAAGCATAAATAAGTATTAATACACAAGTTATCCTCAATAAATCTGTGCCGCTGTACCTTTATTGCAGTCGCTTGAAGTAATCGTTTGGATAGTGATCACGCATGCGCAATCGCTGCCCTTACAAAGGCTGGGACTGTAATTACTTGTCTACGGACAGCGCGCGAACCCACTCATACATACACAGACGCTCTGCTCCTCCTCCAAGCCCCGTCTCTGTTTTAAAATGAGGCGTTTAATACAGAGATAGACTGGGCCTCCGGACGCTGTGCTCTTTATTCAACAGAAGCTTCTCACTAGTTGCCCTGTTGGAAGACTCGCCGCGGAGCTGTTGTCACACGGGCCGCGGTTCGGTTCTTGTTGCTGGGAGGAGAACCCAAAGATTCCCTGCTAACACTGTTAGCTGGCTACGATGCGCCGCTGCTGCAGGTGTATTTTCCACACGGCAGACTATTGTACAACGAGGTAGACCCTCGGATAACAGTTTACTCTGACTGGGGTGGAGGGAGACTCGAAGATACACCATACCGTTGAAGGTAACATGTTGTGAGTCAGCTAACGTCATTCATGGCCGAAGAACGCAGTCTCGCTTCATGCTAACTGATGTAGCATGTTAGCTCGCTGCTGCATATTTGCATGCACGACCGCGTAGCAAACAATCACGTAAAGCATATATGCACATGGACAGATAACTATTGTTACGTTAATAGTGAATTTCGCCTTAACGCAGAATTACCTGGGATAAATCAAAGCTAAATTTGATGAACCAGCCTTTACAGGGCTTGACAAACCAGGCAGCATAGATATGTTTGTGAGGAGGAAAAGTAGCATTGGGTTTATTATACAGACAACTAACAAGGATTTAACTTATTATTTAAATGTGTTTTAATAAAATATTTAATATAAACTTGATTATATTTACCTACTATATAATTCACCCAAGTTTATTAATACAAAAAAGTTAGTTACAAGTTGAAGTAGAAAGTTCGACAAAGCTACTTGTTTGAATAAAGGTATTTTCTTGAACATTCCCAAATAAAAACAGCGACATAATCCTGTCTTAAAATGGGATAATGCAGTGATAATGGCAAAAGCTTGTGTTTATTAAATTAAATTAAATTGAAAGAGGTACCAGTTTGTGTATTTTGACTGTCAGAATTCAACAACAAAAAAAACGACAACAAAAAAATAACAAAACAACAGTCAGTCGCATTTTCCCGCCATATGTATCCAGATTTTGTTTAACTAATTAACTAATAAACCTGTAATGTTGTAATGGGCCTCTGTCTGGGGTCAGCTCTGCTTTTAAAGGCAGCAAGTCACACACAGCATTAACAACAGCGCTGTCTATTGTTCAGTTTAATGTCCTTCAACACTGTAAGTGATTCAAAATCAACCTGCGTGAATATGAGGCTGAATAAACAATTTAATTTGCTAAATTTATACTGAATTAAGGTTGATTTTAAAAACTATGGGCTGCCTTGGCTTTACTCTGTGTTCATGTAGGCCTTTGGCAGATGCACTAGCTTTACTCTGTGGTCAACGATGACATAATGATGGTTATTGTGCCTGCCAGGATGCTACTTTGGTACTTACTCCTAGATTATTAGATAAAACCCCTAACAGACCATCAATGATCGGCCTCTGAACAGAACTCACAACGGTAATTTTCTCAATAATTAAACACCAGGATGGATTTATTCTGCCTTCCTTTGAAAGTTTTTGTTTCACTAGCACAAATGCATATGATACAGTGTCTCATTTTAGAATCTGATTTTTTTTTCTTTGTCTCTTTTTATTTTGCCAAGGATGGATGATGAATTTTGTGCTAGCAGGGACAGTATCAGGAGAAACGTGGACCTAGCTGGGGCTGCAGGAGGCACAATGGATGTTATACCGCTGGAGATGTATGACTCGGCCAGAGCAAAAATAGCAGCTAACCTCCGGTGGCTGTTTGCCAAAGCTTATGGGATTGGTAAGTAATGTAAACTCACGTTAAAGGTTGGTTGGGGGGTTGGTACGGTGCTGTGTGATTTGAGTGGCGATCATAGAGACTGCTGCTGCCACGACCCGGTAGCGGATAAATGGATGAAAATGGATGGATGGATGGATGGAAACATTGACAGGCGAAGACGGAGAATTCAGAGCAGCAATAATGAATTCCTTATAACCGTTGTCAACAGAAGCATTTCTCACTGACTCGCTAAGGCCTTCAGTCCATGTCATATGGTCAGAGAGATTGAAGCTAAGTCGGGCAGGGTGACGGGTACTGAGGTAGTCGGTTATATTTATTAGATCACAGATCACATGGGACAGGTTGATCTGCAACACCGGTCTCCTGTTTTCCATGTTGGGATGTAGTCGCGTGACAATTGCAAATTGCACATTCACGGCAGATTTCACACAGTGATTGCACGGATATTTGTGCGTGTGAAATCGAGGACGTGCATTAAGTCCTAGTGAACAGAATTAGATTTTTCGCCTATTCCCTCACCACTAAATTAAGATTGGCCATAGCTAACAGGCCCTGCTGAAATTTGAGCAGAGTCCGTGACTGAACCCAACCCGGGGAAGTGAGAGACAAGCAGTTGAGAAGTGATATTAAAATGAAAGCAGAGAGAAATAGGACTAGATGTGAGAGACCAACAGTGACCATAGATGGGAACCAGAATCAGAAATACTTTATGTTGATTTCCATCGAAACGTTGTTGGGTTAACTGTTGCTCCTGCAAGATCATAGGTTTTTTTATAGGGATTGCCACCTAGTGGACTGGCCTTCTGCTGAGGATGTGACCATTGTTTTGCCTTTGCTTATCAGTGATTTAAGCTCTAGCTACAAACAAAACAGAGAAAGGTAAACAAAATGGTCACAGGAATGAAAATAAAAGATCTTCCTGGCCTTCGAGCTGACTTTAAGTAACATTGTTTTTCTTCATTGTCTAACTTAGTGTTCTCAGATTTGACCCAGATTTCTCGACTGTTTGGCCAGTTTTTAATCACCAGTGTTCAGAAATGTGGCTCGATAACTAAGTAGAGCGCTGCAGGGCGTGACCTCACCACCACAGTAGTACTTCACTTGCTACTTTGGCACTTGTGGATCGGTTCTCAGGTGGAGTCATTTCTGACAATAGTACAAAATCTTTTAATTTATCCTGTTATTTATTATTCCTAATATTGATATTTTAACGGCGTCCAAGAAAAGTACTGCTAAACTGAGTCCTTTTTGGTGCTTGCACTGATTATCTACATATTCTGGTTAAGTCAAAACTACTCAAACATTGACCACGTCATAACAACTGAGTTTTGTTTGTAAAAAAAGTGCAATAAAAATGCATTCTTACCATCTCCTATTTTATCAGATGCTTTTTAATTAATATATCACTATTTATCATATTTTTGTCAAATAGAAAGTCTCATCTTCTTTGCATCTGGAGAACTAACTTCAGCTTTTCTGCCAGCGTCCACACAGGGGTTTTGTGCATCATCAGTGTTGAGTGCTTGAAATGTGGTCAACTAGAAAGGGGCAAATAAATGAGTTTAATTTTGTCTTTATTTGATGACTCATAATTAACATGTTTAAATGGCGGCCCTATGATGTCTGTGTAAATGTCGAGGTCAAGTCGGCCACATGTCAACCATTTGAATATTTAGATATTTCTTTTGAAGTTTATACCATGGCTAAGAACAAAGGACTTAAAATTATCTCTTTTTTTTTTTAACGCCACCATTTAGCATTTGCTGCTACAGCTATTCTTTATTATTTTTAGTGTCCCAGTGGGAGCCGGCCCTCAGGTGTAGTTGCTCATCATCCTCTCATGGGAACTGAATACATCAGACCCTTTTTTTAATACAATGGCTCATTTTACCAAATGCAGCGTAATTCCATGTTGCCCTTGGACTCGGGTGCATCTGGTGTGATTTCATTAGCGTGGTTGTTTGTGTGACTGTGTCACAGCTGCTTCCAGGCTAAGAGACGTAGCGCAGGACAAGAGGAAAGCACCTGTCATAGAAGTGGACGGGTTTGCTGGTTATAGGCCCTTGTTTGTTCCGATCATGGTATGAATACAGTTCACAGTTGGCTGACCGAGACCAAGCACATCCAGGTTCCTGTTGCCAGAAACCCCGACCTTCTGCTCTGCCCCATACCACTTAGTAAATGTTTCATATCTGCTCTCAGAATCAGGAGGTTTGGGCATATGATGGCGAACCTGGTCTGTGGAATGAAGGCTAACGTGAAGTCAGGTTCTAGTCCCAGTTACTGTTGTGCCAATGTTTTGACCCAGATGCAGTGTCTGTTGTTCCCAAAAAAAGTATATTTTTATTCAGTAGGTTTTTCTGTTTAAAATC